ATGATATAATCAAATTTACGTTAAGGTAGAGGCTAACAATGGGATATTCCTAAAGGAAATGAGTAGGTGAGGCACATGCCTCAATTAGGCAGATGCAAATTAAATGTATTGTAGGAATGTATTTGCTATTACGATCGACGATAATAATACTTCCTGAATAAATAAGTTTTTAAAAAAAAGAATCTATTGACTAAGAAGGTGTGTTACTATTCACCACTTCCCTTATCTCGTGAGTTGAGGTTATGACTACCCAAAAAGTCCTGAATTTGGAATTTACGCCGTTGAATGGTATTAGGTGGTGAGACCGGAGACCAGACAGTATTAAATGACCTAGAGCAGCGGCAAAGAAGGCAGAATATAAAAAGCCTGCTTCTTCTTTGGTATCTACAGCTTTATTTTGGCGGTACGTTTTATATGTGCATTGGCGATTTATTTCCAACATAGGCCAGGACCAGATCTTGCAATATGGCACCATCCAGAGGCTTCCAGTTTTAGCGTTGATGAGGACGAGCAGGAGGTAGAACTAAAAGCCTTGGATTTGGAAAGTGAAAAAAATAGCCACCTTTTCCTGAACCGATTGGTTGAGAGCTGGCCTTTTCTCAAGCTGGTTTCTGGTGTAACACTGGAATCGGGCACCGACTCAATTGACCCAATTTAGGCGAAAGAGGAGCAATCAATTTAAAGGAAGAGGTGATAAGTTTACTCGCAAGTAGCTTACAGTTGTTTTGCTGGGTGAAAAAGTCAAAATCATTTCGCAACTAACAACAGGACAACTACAACACAACATTAGAGCTCAAAACTTAGAAATACGCGGCCAACCCATCATACTCATGTGCACAAACATTTCAGATATCCCGTGAGTGTTGGATTCTAAAATAGCCGTATTTTTATAATCCAATTTTATGAGGGAATTAAATATTAATTTCTAAATATCTTTAAGTAATCCAGGCTAAAAAACATTTATACAGTAATAGCAGGATAGGAATTAAGAAATGGGCCAACTGGGATAACATAGAAAACCAATAAGGCCTTCCCACTACCCGATTAAATGTAGAGAAAAAAGACACTTGTTGAAAGTTTGAAGGGAGCTATTTGTCGGCCGTTGAAGAAATATTTAGTGCTTCTGGATTCAAGTTTATTTTATAAAATGAAAGTAACGATAATCTGGTTTGTTTAGCATCTTCAGAGGGTTTCAGCAAAAGAAGTATCAAATGAGAGGAAGATGTCCACAACCTTGACACTGATATCTTCAACATTCGTTCGCCCAGAATATACAAAAGTGTACCTGTGAGGATAATTGAAACTGCTTGACATTCAGCACACTTAACTTTTGAAAATTTTTACTATCAGTCTTCACATCACCTTAAATGACGGAATGTAGAAGTAGAAAAATTTTTAAGAGCATTTAACAATTGTACCACGGATTGAACCTTCAGAATTATATCCAGTACCATTCACCACTGCAAGTGCCTAAATATTTACAGTTAACCCCAAAAGTTACACTTTTGTCGACATAATCAAGTGTCTTTGGCACTGACTTGCAATGCCAAAAGGTGAAATAAAAAGACATTTATTTGCCATGAGTCAAAAGATTATAGATTTTGCTACAAATATCGCCGTCTCTGCTCTTGCTGAATATCCTGTTAAAGGTGACTTCCAACTATGGATGAACGAATCCGCTTATATTCCCTAAGTTCAACACAGCAGGATCAGTGACCAGGACCTAAAGGTTTAGAGGCTAATACTTCCCTATTTGAACATACACTGTCTTAGCGTCGTTGGATCACAGATACCGTTCGAAGTTTAGACGAT